TTCTTCCTTTAGTAATACTGGATCAATAAGAGATGACTCTTACTGGACCTCTAGGAAGAACAGTTTAGAACTGATAAAGCTATCCAGTATAAATAAAGTTAGTTTAGTTTAGGTTTCCTCCTGTAGTAACACTGGATCAATAAGAGATTACTCTTACTGGACTTCTAGGCTTACTTACTTACTTACTTACTTACTTACTTACTTACTTACTTACTTACTTACTTACTTACTTACTTACTTACTTACTTACTTACTAGACCTCTGGGTTAGAACAGTTCAGAACTGATATAGCTATCCAGTATAAATAAAGTTAAGTTAGTTTAGGTTTCTTCCTTTAGTATCACTGGATCAACAAGAGATGACTCTTACTGGACCTCTAGGTATAACAGTTTAGAACTGGTAGAGCTGAGCAGTCTTTTATTTTTAGGACACGAAGATCCTGGTAACAGTGGCCATCCTAATTGGAATCCTCTGTGTATGTTTCCTGCCGTTTCTAATCACGAATGTAATCGTAACAGTCGAAAATATTCCTGACTTTAGTTTTAAAGCGGTTATGGCTTTGAAGTTTCTACACTTCTGTAACTCAGCCCTTAATCCCCCTGTGTATGCATTACGTCATCCCGAAATAGCGCGCACGTTCAAGGGCATGTTCTGCAGTCATTCTGCACGTGATGTTGGTCAGAGCACGCGCACAAGGGTGACTAATAACGCCACCACCTCACAAGCACTGTCTACTGTCACATGATGGAAAACACAAGGAACTCGAGTGAGATCTTTCACTACAAACGCCCCCCCCCCTGGCGAGTAAAGTCGTCTGGTGATAGACAAAGTAAAGTAAGGGAGCGGTCATTGTTTATGGCGGGGGGTGGCACCGAAGAGAAATGTGTTACTTGGTACAAATTTTGCTGATCCAAGTCATCCAAACATTAGAAAGTCAAAAAAGATTTCACCCAACCTCAAATATAAATTTAAAAAATAAATACCCACCCCTAATCAAAACCTTCACAAAAAGATACCATTGAGTTGTCACACATGTCCTTTACCACTTCTGTGACATGAGTTTGATAACTGCTTGTGTATATTTCTGCAGTCTAAAGCCTGCAGCACACGAGAGCTATCTGCTGAGCCAAAAGTTACTCGTGCCTGTTAGCTCAGCTGATAGCTCACCGATCAAACATGTTTGATACGTGAGAAAAGGTTGCATGAGGCAAAAAAACTCAGTAAAATGTACGCGCACACGGTGAGCTATCGGCTGTTGACATTGCTTTTTTGTCTTCAATATTCGAGTGAGTCATGCTTTGGAAATGACAATAAATTTTTATTACCCAACCCTTTACTCACTCAAAATTTTGTTTACCCAACCCTTTTCTCTTCGGTGCCACCCGCTCCATAAATAATGGCCGGTCCCTTAGCAAGAGCACTAGAAATACTGTGGAGTAATAAGCTTCCCTATTTTAGAGAAATACATTAAGCCTTCCTCTCATTTTCTGCCTATTCACAACAATGAAATGCAGGTGTACTGATAATATTTACGTTTCCCAACAATGTCTATTTATCGGGCTTCCCTTGCGCGCCTAAAATAAAGTTTGTATTGTTCATTTAGAGAATTAAAATGTAATATAAATCTTCTTTATTATAAATCAATAGTAAAGCACAGGGCCGTAGCTAGACGCGATAATTGGGGGGGGGGGGGGGGGA